TGTATTTTTATTTAGAAAAATATCAATATATTAAATAGATGATATTAAGTGGGAGAATCATACAGCTATAAACCAGTATGATTTCTTTCTGTAGAAAATATGTGTATGTTTGTTTTGGTTGTTTTTTTTGTTTTTTTTTTTTTTTTTGGTAGGCATAGAGGAAAGTCTGGAACTATCCCAAAATATTAAGAGTTATTTAAACGTGGTAGGATTCAGGTGACTTTCCTTCTACTTCTCTTATTTTCTTAACCTTTCAACTATAAATATGCACATGTTATAGTAAAAGGCCAAGCTGCTAAGAGAACCACAAGATTGAGAGTTAAAGAAATGAATTTCTCTCTCATTTAATAGTGTTGAGATAGGTGTTCCATACATGCAGCTATGAATATCTGTTCAATTCAGATACTCATTGACCCAGGTTCCCTTCATCTTATAGCTCCTCCATTCCCTAGGGCCTTGTCATCTCCATGTTCATGGCTGGGTGCTGTCACAAGGAGTAAGAGGAGACATGAAAGAGGTGCTGGTCCCAAAGTGGCACATATCACTTCTGCTCACATCCCGTAGCAGAGACACAGTCACATAGCTATAACCAACTAAAAGGCAGGCAGGAAACAAAATTTAAAAAGGGATAGAGTTTTGGGTGAGATGTCTTCGGAGGACATTTCCTTTAGGAATTAAGCATACAGAGGAGGTATAACATTTGGATACTGCCTTCAAGGGATTTACAGGCCAATAGAATAATTGGACCAATAAAATTCAAAGTAATATATGCAAAGGGCCAAAAGAGTGGCCAGACAAATGCAGAGGAGAAAATTGCTAGGATCATGGAATAAGGCTTAGGTGAATTGAAAAGCTAGCAATTCTGCTTCATTGAGCTATCAGGATTACTTGTGTCTTTGGAAAAAGTAAAACTATTTGCGTTTTATGACATTTTAGGGAACATGACCTCCCTTTACGCCATAGAGGAACTGAATCATATTTTCCTACTGACCTTACAATAATTTAAGGCTGTGATTGATCTTCAGCTAGTGCTTTTTAAATTGTAATTCTTTGTTAAATCTGTAATGATCTTTAACATAAAATACCTTGGAAGGGCTAGAATTTAAAGGCAACTCTTGACTTACTAATGTATAAGTTATTTTTAAGTGTACTTTTTAAAAATAGGATTTTAGAGTTTTTAAATATGATTATCTTGAGTGAGGTATTTCTAGACCAGTTTGGAAGGTATACCAGAAATATACTATAAAGAGGTTTTATTTTTCTCCCTTGGATAGACAATTTTCTATCTAGATTTATATGATACATTATCTCCTTCACAATTGGACCAAGTTTTGCATATCTTTTGCCTAGCATCGGATTTCTCAAGTGTGTGGAGTTTAGGCTAGTAAAACAAAAAACCCCACATTATTCTGGTTTTATATATAAAACCTCCAAAGTCAAATGGTGGATTTTGGTCTCTAACCGCCTCCCCACTCCCACCACATGGTCCCTTAAAACCCGCTGAAGTCTAAATGCCTGTGATTTGCTGTTTCCCTGATAGTCCATGAAATGCAATGAAATGTTTCAAGGGGGATAGCATGAACCAATTGGTACTCTGGCATGTCCCCTTCCCCCCAACCCCACCCCCGGGAAATTCAGGTTGTGAAGCCTCATGAGGCAAGAATTTTGCAAATGAGGGAGCCCCAGATTTGAAAATTGCTATTTTGCAAATAGTGCTTATTCTATAAATAAGGATTTCCACAGCTGGGGAGAACTTTAAAAATTGGGTGATCCAGTTGCCTTCTTTTGCAGATGAGGACCTGAGATGTGCACAGGTCGAGTCACTTGCTGAGGGCACATAGTTCATTTGTGGCAAAATTGCGAACCATAGGCTAGTAAAACAGTCCTCTGGTCACCCTGCTCCGTACCACACCATGCCTCGCTTTAGGTTATGCCTCTGGGGGTCACCAGCTTGCTTTCTATTTGGAAGGGAACCTCAGGTAGAAACTCCAGTGATGAGAGGGCAGAGGGCAGTGATTTCCCAGCTCCTGATCCATGGGGGTAATGGGTCAGGACTGGGATGAAGTGGGAGTGAGGGTGTCATCTTTATACTTTTTAAAAATATATATATTTATTGATTTCAGAAAGGAAAGGAGAGAAAGAGAGAGATAGAAACATCAATGATGAGAGAGAATCATCGATCAGCTGCCTCCTGCACACCCCCTACTGGGGATTGAGCCCGCAACCCAGGCATGTGCCCTTGACCGGAATCGAACCTGGGACCCTTCAGTCCGCAGGCCAACGCTCTATCCACTGAGCCAAACCAGCTAGGGCTTATGTTTTTTAAATATAAATATGTTTTTATTGATTTTAGGTAAAGAGAGAGAGAGAAACATCGATCCACTGCCTCCTGCATGCCCTCTACTGGGGATCCAGCTGGGCATGTGCCCCGGTGACCTCTCGATACATGGGACGATGCCCACCCAACTGAGCCACACTGACCAGGGCCAGGGTATCATTTTTAGATCCCAGCATCTGTAGATCTGGGATTCATTTCTTAATTCATAGTAACAATAAGCCCATTTGGGGAAGAAATTTGACTTGTAGCCAACTTTGTAAGGAAGTTTCACAGCCAAAACATCTCTATATAAAGAATTTCAAAGTTTCTTTTTTTGAAAACCATTATTCAGAGCACTGAGAATTGAAATCTCAAGTGACAACAAGAATAAAATATTTCCTTCTTCCTAAAATTGTCGAATTGCTGAAAAGCAATACTGTCTTTTAAAATAACTTTCTTACTTTTTTGATCAGTATTAAGATGAATCATCCTTTTTGGGGGCATGATTCTGGTTTAATCTGTATAAATATTTTGGAAACTCTTTTATGACCTATAGGTTGATTGATTTCAAGGACTATAAACCCATCTGTTCATCTGTCTATCACCTACCCACCTATCTGAGAGCAGAATGGGAGAATGAGAAGTTTCCAGTGAAGCACCAAGCTCGCATTGGTAGGTAGCCTAGGGGACTCAGTATTTTATACTGTGGTTTTTCTAATTAAAAAACAGGTAGATCTTAATTTTTGAAACACAGCTCTCTGTTAATAACTGAAGAGCAGGAAGTTTTATCATGTAGCCAACAGTGTTGGTTGTCATGGAATAGTCATTCTTCATCACTTTTTTTTTTTTTTTTTGCCTATAATACAGGCTTGAAACCCAGCTCAGAAAGTGCCTACGTGATAGATACTTGTGTTAGTACTTCCACTCTAGCTTAGCCTAATTAGATTACTGTTAAGCTTGAGAAAATTTATAGCCAACTTTTTCTAGATTAAAAACAAGCCTTTGTTGAAATGTTTTGTTATTCTAAATTGGGCCCATCCTAACTTTCCATCAAAGAAGCCATTTTTGGCTCTGTCACCACATCAGCCAGTATAATTCTCTAGGGACTGCTGTCATTGTTAATTCACATCTGACCTTGTTCTAAAGAAAATATTTAAGGCGGGGACACCCTAATTAGGCCTAACTGGTTCTTGCTTTGCCAATTAATCTGGACCTGTGAAAATTAGTTCGCTTCCCTGAGAAATCAGACTAAAGATTATAAGAAAACTTCAAATGCCACCCTAAGCACTAGGATTTCTTATCTCTTGGTTACTGTGTCAACAAAAGTGGTTACAACTAGTATTCTCATCTTACAAACAGGGAAACAGAGACTTAGAGAGACCCAATGTCTTACCTAAGGTTGGTAGAGTATGGCCGCAGGATTCTCAGCCTGATCACTTGGCTGGTCTTTGTATATATACTATGTATGTATCAGTTTCCTGGAGGTCATGCTATTGGGAGCACCTGTCATGGGCATGGCAGGAAATGTGTGGTGCCCTCTGGGAAGCGTTTGGATTTGTGGATTTTATAATAGAGTATTTGCCAGACCATGTGCCTGGGAGTCATTGGTAGCTGCAATTGCTGGGTGTTTTTATGGGAGAAGAATGGACTTGCCAAGTCAGTCTGGAACGTCAGAAATTGACAGACATTGGGACTACTGGAAAACATTATTAAAAATTACTCTTAAGATGTCAAGAGAAAAAAAATGACTCCTTAGGTCAGAAAGGGAAAGCTTTCACTCTGCAGTATGCAAGCCACATGCTGAGAGATGTGAAAGGGCAGCGTAAATGCATTCGATTAGTCTGCAGTGTGGATTAGAGGACTGTGGGATTTAATAATTTGTGTATTAATTTTAAAGAATGACCCTGCAAATGTTATTCTGTCATAATAATGTAACCACTCTTGTTGAATTTAGAAGCAATGTGAAAATTATTCTTTCAGTGATGCTTTCTAGATGTATTAAATAAAATATCAAAAGTTGCAATTGATTAACCGGGAACTTTAGCATGTGAAAGTTATTAAGCACTAAATTCTGTTGCTTGGGGTTTTTATTTTATTTTTTCTGAAATGTACTAAAAAATTCTCCCTTTACATAATTTATGGTCATTCTGTGGTTTCAATGTACAAAAAAAATATCCTCAGAGTCTTGGCAGTATTTTGGAATATAATAAGTTATCTTAGTATTGGGTTATATATAAATGTGATATCTCATGAGCTGAGTTCTCTCCTATGGGCAAAGAAAGGAATAGGCTATTAAGTTACATATGTTGCTTAGCATACCTTTAAGGAGCAGTGATGGGAAATACACCTTTTCTTCCTCCTCCTTGGCAGTATATAGATCTGCTAACCTTTTGTCTGCACGCAAAGACCTAATGAGGACCAGCCAGTGTGGCTCAGTGGTTGAGCGTCATGGTTTGATTCCCGGTCAGGACACATGCCTGGGTTGCAGACTCGATCCCCAGTTGGGGGTGTCCAGGAGGCAGCCAATCAGTGACTGTCTCTCATCATTGATATTTCTATCTTTCCCTCTCCTTTCCTCTCTGAAATCAATAAAAATATTTTTTAAAAGAGAAGGCCTAATGAGAAGATGTCAATGATCTGTGGTGGTACCAATATACAGCTGGGATACTGCTGTCCACATACTCCGTGGACCACATCATAGTTCTAGAGTTCATGGGCTCCCGAGAGCCTTGTGGAATCGCGAAGCAGGCATGGCAATTAGAGTGAGGTGGTCTTCGCCTTCCCATTCAAGGACAAGCAGATGGGTCAAACACCAGGGAGGCATGTGGCAGGAGATTACGTTTTGAATCCAGATACATAATGAGGAGTATAGTTGACTGACAAGTGACTATGCATTTGGTTGGGAGGTGAGGAGGGTAGGGAGGGGTTAGGAGTGTCCAGAAAACCCCATCCCCTCTTGCCCTTCAGGATGTCTCCTGGAATCCTAAATGCTATGTTCTATGTTAAAGAGTATTTTGGAATTTATTCCTAAATATCTATATATTAAAAACAAAAACTATGAGCACAGCTTAGACCTCATCATAAACAAGCCACACCATTCAAGTTAGATTTCCTTTGTCTTCCATGGACACGGACCACTCCCCTTTCTGTTATTGCTCGGATTTAGCGAAATTTCTTGTATTTTGCAGAACTCAATGTCAAAGAAACAAGTGAGTGTTCCTTCCTGTCTATCTGAGCTTAGTAGAAGAATTTCCAAGTGCTTAATCTAACTCCTGTTTGAATGATTGGCTCCTGGCTGAACTGTTAATATGCAAATTCTAAGAAAGGGAAAAGTTTTCATTTTTCTAGCTGCCAAATTTTGGGCTTCATGGTGAATCGCTGGACAGACTTTCAAGGCCAAGTGTGAGTGCTGCTGGTTCAAGGCTGGGAGAGCAATGCAGGTTTATTTAGATGCCTGGCCAGAGCTGAGACACATGGCTGTGGGGACCAGCCTCCAGGGCCTGTAACTTCCCCTGGAAAACATCTCACTTGTCACATCCCCTGTATAGGATCTTCATGGAGTGCTGATTGAGGAAAAGGGCTAGGACCCCTGACCGGAGAGGAGCTGTGGTGTCTTTCTTCTCTATCTGTTGCAAGGGTGTCAATAAAGGAGAAGGCTTACTCACTTGAAAGCTTTGTATTACTAAGCAGCTCAAAAGAGCTGTTGCTGGTGGGATTTTCTCCTTACTGAAGTTTTCCTTTGCCCCTAAAATACTAAGCAAAACGGAAGGAAAGGGTGAAAGATAAGCCTGTCTTTCAAAATATGTTGCGTTGACCCATCACAGAGAAACCCTGAGGTTTCTCAGCTAATAAATAAGTGGCATTACTGCATTTGGGATTTAGAAAAAGGCTCCATGGTGAAGTTATTTGGGAATTAATCATCAGTTGGCTGGCTCATCCCAGCCGTGGAACACGTCGGAATTCACCTCGTGGTGTTTGGAAGCCGGCAGCCTGGTTATATAACATGAAACTTGAGGCCTGCCAGCTGGCCCTCAATGTGCCCCAGGGGAGCTTCGAGGCTCTATAACTCTTTCTCAAGTCAGCCAGTCCTGCCAAATTGATGTCAGTGGCCCAGGGTATGCTGGGCACAGACCTCAGGCTTTACAGTTACAGATGACACATCTATGGGATTTTGTCCTCAGTAACCTCCACTAATACCAGAGAATAGTAAGTGAGGGACACTCATTGGACTGCCCCCTACTTAAAAAAAATTTTTTTTGAAATTGTGAATACCACATAGCAATATTTATCATTGTAACCATTTTAAGTATTCAGTTTAGCAGCATTAAGTACATTCACATTGTTGTGCTACTATCAACACCATCTGCCCACAGAAATCTTTTCATCTTGCAAAACTGAAACTCTGTACCCATCAAGCAATAATTCTCTATTACCCCATACCCCACCAACCACCATACTACTAGCTGTCTCAATGAATTTGACTACTCTAGGGACTTCATACAAGTGGGATCCTATAGTATTTGTCTTTTTGTGACTGGCTTATTTCCTTTAGTATAATGTCCTCAAGGTTCATCCAAGTTGTAGCCTGTGTCAGCATACCCTTCCTTTTTCAGAGCCAACACCATTCCATTCTGTGTACACACCACATTTTGTTTATCCATATTTACCTGTTGGAGGACGGATGCATCACTTCTACCTTTTGGCTACTGTGAATAGTGCTGCTATGAACATGAGTGTGCAAATATTTCTTGTGAGTCCCTGCTTTCCATTTTCGGGGTATATACCCAGAATGGAATTATTGGATTATAATTAGCATTGCTGATGCAGTAAGGGGTTTCTCTTTTAACAAAATATCATGATTACCTGTGACTCCCCTAAGAGTACAGGACTTGATTGTCTGTGCTGTCCTTCTTTCCCCCCGTTGTAACTTACAGGCCTCTGTGGTCACAGGTGTGGTGGGGAAAAGTGGCCTGTCCCAGGCTGAGATCATCAGTGTAGACCTTCTCAGTTTGACCCTACATCTGATTAGCCCACTAAAGCACAGAGGGGATGACAGAGTAAATTGAAGATCATGTCATTTAAATGACTCCTCCTTCCTCCGTTTTTTTTTTTCTTTTTCTTTTGAAAACTCCAGTTTTGGTCTCTACACAGCTATTTTAGCCTAAACTCCAGTAAATCAGTGGCACTCCAGACTGGTTATGCCTTGGAGTCACCTGGTTGTTTACTGACATCTAGATCCTACCTCCTGAGACTCTAATTAAGTTAGTTGGAGGTCAGACCTGGGCACAAGGTTTCTGGAAAGCCCCCGCCGCCCGTGAGTCTAATGTGCACTCAGGTAAATGACTGAATAGAAAGGAATATTTTGTCCCCCTCTTTCTTTCTGTCTTCTTTTTGGTTATTTCTTTAGAACATCTCTGCAGATGTGTAAATCTCAGCACAAATTTTAAAGACTTTTAATATACTCTTTTGTTTTGTTAAATTAATGAAGCTGTATGATGTCATTTTGAAACCAAGAACAAGGAGACCGGGGTCATACTCTTGTGTATGTCATTATCTAACCAGGATGATGAATTACTTAACTTGTCAGAATCACAGGTTTGTTGTTTTTAATCTTGGCCTTAAAATTAGAGTATGGATCAGCAAACCAGTTAGAAGAATGAAATTAATGATTCTTTTAAAATGTCCCCTCTACCTCTAACATGCTCTGAATGAACAGGCTGAGTTATCGGGGAATGCAAGAGGCTTGTGGTTCCATGAGTGTGAACTACGTTGCGTGATAGTGATAATGAGCAGGAGGATAAAGAACCTCCTCACAAGGTGCTGCTGGGAGTTCTGGTACCCCAGAAGCAGCCTCGGGGTGGCTCTGATCAGTAAATGTAAGGACACAAAGTAAAGATCTTGAAGGATCTATAGTTCACCAAAAAACAGGAATGTCGTGCCAGGCAGACTGCTAGAGAGTGTTGGGAACATTTTAAGAGATGGAGAGACCACAGCAGGAATCTGGTCCAACCAATCAGAGCATCAGAGGCCGCTGTCTCCTTGAAAATTAAAGTCAGTATTTCTTCTTGGGAATTCTTTCAAAGTATATACTTATTTCTCTCCTCCCCTGATCCTATTCGAGGAATGTGAATGGCTCAGGTTTTTGTGTTTGTTTGGTCCCCTCTCCAAATTAGCATCGCTAATGCTGTTGAATTACGGTGCCAGGAGTTATTGGTGTAGAAAACCAGAGCATGCAATCCTGCCCTGGACACCTCCAGGCATGGAATTTTACTTCCTTGGTAGACTTCTTAGGCCCATGGGAAAGTGAGAGGAGGTGGCCTCCTGGGGGGTGGCCGGCTCAGCCTCTGGAACTGGGAGCTAGAGCCAGCCCCATAGCGTGCGGCCGTCAGAATGACGCAGGGAGGCGTGTGAACGCAGCCGGTTGCTGCAGCTGGTGCACTTGACTTTGGGCAGTGCGTTCCCAGGAACCCGCAGGACACTGAGGACCATGAGTGATGTAACCCAGCTCTGCCAGATGTGGGAGCCAGCGTGAGTCATGCTGGACGATTCATTCAGAAACGTTTTCTGGGTCATCTGGGCAAGGAGCCCTGGCTGCTTCCTCTGCCATCTGGGGTTGGAGGCACCCAAGTCCACACACCAGGATTCCCCAAGTTCACTAGCATCTGTCTAAAATTATAGCTTGGTTCTCTGAGCTGACACAGTGCAGAGCCCAGATTCTTTGATGGTCCCTGGTTTATAATATGTTAAAGGATTTCACCACTTTGGGTAGTGGAGAGTGGGGGGAATGAATAAAAACATATATGTAGGTTGCTGTGAGGTTTCTGTACATACTAGTAAGATCAGATGTGGGATGGGATGTTGTTAAGAAGCCCAAAAACTCTGCTGGCATTGCAGCTAATGAAATGCCAGGGATCATGGTCTGTTTTTGTTAGATGTTTGCAAGATGCCTCATGGCGAATAACAGATATTTTTCTGAGAAGTTGTAGACTGACTTTTCAAAAACTCCTTGTGGATCTATAACATATAACTAGAAAAGTGCATGCATGCATTGCTGGGTAAAATTTCACATCCGCCCACATAACTGTAGTGGGTTGAACAGTGACCCTCAAAAAGAAATATGTGTGTGGGAACCTGTTAATATGATCTTATTTGGAAAGGAGGGGTCTTCAGAGATAAAATTAAATTAAAGATCTTGAGGTGAGATCATCCAAATCCAATGACAAGTGCCTTATAAGAAGACACAGAGAGGCTGCTGGACTCTTGACTATGAATTTTAAAAATTCTTGATTCATCACTGGAAAGATGAATGGCACAGCTGCTGTGTCCTCCATTTCAAATCTCAGAAATAATTTGCAGCCTTATGAAGTGCTCCAGTTCTGTTTTTTTTTTAATCCTCACCTGAGGATATGTTTTTATTGGTTTTGAGAGAGAGAAACATTGATGCGAGACAGAAACATCAATTGGTTGCCTCCTGAACGTGCCCTGACTGGGGATCCAACCAACAACCTAGGTACGGGCCCTGATGGGAAATCGAACCACAACCTTTTGGTGTTCACCTGGGTTTCTGAGCGACCAGGAAGATCAGAGCACGCTTGTTGACTTGCATGAGAAAGAAGTAAACTTTGGCTGTTTTGAGCCATAGAGATCTTGGGGTTCTTCGTTACTGAAGCATAAGTGGCCAATCCTGCATG